CTCCACGATCTCGAAGCGCATCAAAATGTGAGCTGTATGTGTTGACTTTGAGTGCGGGAAAGTTAGGGGACCTTGTGGGTAAAGTTGCCAGTTACTCTAACCCAATAAGGTTTATGGAATGAAGCTTCTTAACTAGGAGAAGAATACTAAATCTTTATTATAGTTTTAAATTTAATTTTTATATGTTATTAATAATTTAAAATAAAATAATTCAAAATGATGGTTAAACATTTTGAGCTTACTAAAATGGAGTCAAATATATTTAAAAGATGATCAGATCCGCAATAGTTTATTCATCTGAAACAACACTTCATCTTTTAATGAGCATTTAAGCTCAAAAATAAATCGGTATCGGTATCTCCTGAATATTCTTTGACATATTTAAGGATTTCTTAAAGCATTAAAGCTCAAATTGTGTATCTTCAGGTAAATTCCTTCAATTTTTGACAATAACAATACAAATGTCAATAAAGTAAAAAAATTGTCTGCTAAATACAAAAACAATTCATCGTTCACCGATATTACAACATATTTTGTGAGCGTATTTCAGCAGTAACAAACCGCAAAAATATATCGTGTAGTTTCGCACGAAAGAAATATGGCCCAGAAGTGAACGTAAACAACATGACAAATACAAACACAAACACACACCTTACCATGAGCAACATATGTAAGTGGATAGACGCAGGGGCTATATACATATATAATTTTAGTTAAAAGTTTTATTTCTCGCATATTTCATATTCTTGGCTGAAACTTTTTTCCACCTCGAGCATTTCCTTGTTTCATATTTCATCCCGAAAAAGAAGGACAAAGAAAGAGACAGAGCAGGACCGAAGGCAAGTGGGAGAAAGCGAGCGGGATGCGCGGCGCATTCATTATTGTGTAATATTTTTACATTATTTTATTATAAATCAACAAAATGCACTCAACGCGGCAGCACAAAAAACGACAACACAAGTTAAAAGTTGCATCTACGTCGACGGCGGCAGCGACTGCAACTTCTGCTGCTGACAGCAGAAACACATTAAACGTCATAAAATGCACAACGCAGCGAAAAGTCGCCGACAACGAGGGGGCAGGCAGGCCCTTTGCCTTTATAATTTATTTTTGCTTGAATTAATGTGAATACTTTTCACCACTTGGCTGCACAGAGTTGCCCCAGCTACCTGATAGTGGAGCATTCAGCTTCCAGCTCCCAGACTGTGCCTCCTGATAAGGTAAGTGCTGCCGGAGCGTCCCTGAAAAATTCTTAAAAATTATCCTAAGTGCTTTAGGAGACCCCAAAAGACACATACGAGCAAATGTAGTGCAAATCGAGGTAGCAAGTTGCCCTTAAAAGGAGTAATAAAATAATGTTCGACTTATGCTAAAATATTTCACATTAGTATTTAAAACATACTCACAATTATTTTTTTTTTAATTTTTTAGTCGGGGTAATATAATATTTTGATATACAAATAATGTATTTCTTACTCTTTTGGTAAATCTTTTTAACATAAAATAACCTTAGATTGACCTATTGGAACAATCAAATGTTTTGTTTAATACATGCAATTGTTTTTGGGATTATGTTAAAATATGAAAGCAGCAACTCCATTTTTGGTGGAATATTAAAATTCCTATCAAGACGAATGATTTTTGCAGAGAAGTACCATTTCAGTCCCTTTTAATTTCTGGACTTCCTAGTCAGCTCTGCATAATTGGTCTGGTCATGGCAACCGACGAGAGTTGGACAGAATGGAGCCAAAAACTCACCGACCAGAGGGAAATGTGCAACATCATCAGCTGTCAAATGCCAGCTGCAACATGCAGCACCAACTGCGAACATGCAAGATGTGCAGCGACTGTTGATAATCAAGTCAACATTAGAGAATATCCGCTCATGTGGACTCTCAGTTACGCTGGACGGGCAATGTAGCGTATGAGCAATATTCCAGCAGCAGCATCAGCACCAAAGCTCGTACAAAACCAATAAAATTATCGAATGGAACCCAAGCATAAATCACAAGAATTTAGATCAAGCATGTAAAGAATATTTAGCATGTTGGCCCTCGTTGCCTTTTTGCGTACCTATAGATTTTTAATTTAAAACAACCTGGGCGTAGGTAAGCCCGAGCACCTGTGACCAGGGAAAATGTCCACGAAAGGCCATTAGTTGTTTGTCCAGGACCCAGCCTAATGTCCTCTTGTCAAAGTCCACAGTCAGACACAGGCAGGACACTAACACTAACACAAAGGAGCATGGTTCACTGAGGAGAAATGTAACCTGAATTTTAAACCAATTTATTTATTGTTGGTATTGAGTTACCCAAAGACGTCCATATAGAAAATCCATAAAAGTGCGTTTAGAATTTATTTCAGATATGCCGACTGAACTATTTGTCACCAAAACATGTACGACTTCTTACCCCCCTCTTACCGATATTATATTTTTAAATGCAAATTTTTCTTCTCAGTGTAACAGGACAGGCTGTGTATGCAAAACGTAGCAAGCAATAAAGAAGATTTGTGTCGCCGTCGCATTTTGTGGATACATTTTTACCCCTTCACATTCTCTTGTCATCTGCTACTTCTAGTACTGTCTTTTTTTTGCAAATTCTGCAGAAAATCTCAGACCAGAGTAGAAGTCAAGTTTGGTTTGGGCTAATGACCACAGAATAGCTGCTGGTTGCAGTCACTCAGGTTGGTTCAAAGAATGGGTGCAGAACGGCCATTGTCTGCATTGTAACTTAGTCTAGAAAAGATGGAATAGAAAATGGGGATATAGAAAGTTTTTGAAAATGTTTTGTATAGGTTATGAAAAGGAACCACAAATTGATGACCAAAAACAATATGTGTTAACGCATTTTTCGAGTCCTAATTAATTAATCAAATTTAATAGATAAAAATATAAGCTTCTTTGGACAATCATAATCAAAGTAATGTACACTTAAAATTTCTTTGAAATACAAACCAAATTCCAATAAGAGACCAAAACAGCATTAGTAAAAAACTAACATAGAAAAATTAAAAAAAAATTTATTTGAGATTCAAACAAAATTCCAATCAAAAATTATCTTTTTACTAATTTAGAAAAATAAAGAATATTTAAAAGGAAAATACTAGCATCTCTTATTTTTAATGATTGAATGTTCACACATTTTTAACACTATTATGACAAAAATATATAATATAAAAATATATAAAAGTAAGCACTACTAAACCAATTTCTCCTCGTTTGTAACCTTTTAAAAATTACTGCATAAACCAATTGAATTCTCCACCGATTCAATTTACATTCTGCAACATGTGGCTGCAATGTGATTGCAGTTCCAAGCCAGCTTCCACATTCTCAAACATTTATCGATTGTGCTTGTCTCTGTCTTTTGCCCCCTAAATTCCCTTTTAAGCCCAGTTCGGAGCGATTGAAGCCCATTAAATTTTCCGCTTGCCTGCCCAACTTTACTTTCAACGTTTGCTCCCCAAAGATTATCGCAAATGCACAATGGTAAAATAATCATAATTGCATATAAAATGTTAATGGGCAATGGACCACGACCCGACGGCAGCAAATGTTTGGCCAGCTCCTCGCCCTCTAAAAAGAAAAAAAAACAGGAAACTTTTTAATACACCAAAGGACACATTTGGGCCCCGCTTTTCCACTCCCGGCCGAATGTGTGCGCCGCAAAATGCAAAAACAATTACGAAAACTTTGTTGCCGGGCCCAGGACCAATACTGCCCTCACCCCCGTAGAAAAACAAGGGAAAACTCAACTCCAAACCAAACGTACGAATTTTCCCAAGCACAACTTTATGCTGTTTTCCTTTCGCCCCCATGGCTCGTTGCTTGTTGCTTTTTATTGGTTATTTGTTGGCATCTTTTCCACGTTCTTTTTTTTTCGCTGTGTGGATTTTTGCTTTCATGTTTTCATTGCTCAAAAACGGGGCGATGGGCGGAGCAGCGCCCAACACTTAAATTTACATAATTTCCGCTCCAAGTCACCAATGTAAAAGCTTTGGCCAGGATCAGCTGCTCTTGGTCCATAGACGGCAGTGCTAACTTTCCCCCTCCTGTTCTTTCCCATTTATTTTTTTGGTTTTTGCTCTTTTAAAGCGGGAAAATGTTGGAAATATTTTAACGCTTCTATTTTAGCTGAATTTCGCGCCGTGTTGTGCCCCTGTCTTTTTTTTTTTGGCCGGGTTCTTGTTTTTGTGGCAGACCCAACACGTTGCTGACTTTTTGGCCTCTGGCAAGTGCACGAACTGAAAGTGCAGGCCAACTTGTTGTGGCCCATAATACACCAAGGGCAACTTTATAGGCGCTTAGCAATTATGGCCACGCCAACTATTTTATCCCCTCCCGTTTGCCATCGAGCCATGTGAATTGCAAGTCCATCGAGTGGTTCAATGATAAACGATGGGGGTCCTGCGAAAAGGTACGGGTTGAGCTATCGATCTGTTTGACTGTTCGGAGTGCAAAACATGCAGCAGGTGATAGAATCGTCAAAAATGAATGCCTAGCAAATTGACCTTACTTTGGAAAAGTTTCGACTTTTTGACCCTAACCCACAATTGGATTTCAATTAAAAAATCGTTGTTTTTTCTTCTAAATCAATTTTATTATATACTCCTGCAAATATTTCCAAAAATTAATATTCTTTAAAATATCTAAATTTTGTATGTGATTAAAAACAATTAAGCCAGGGACCAAAATAGTCATTATTCAATAAAAAAAACAGAGTTATAAATTTTGTTCATTTCTTTTTTTGATTTTCTAGTAAACTCTAAATTTATTTTTACTATAACTAACACATTCCTACAGACCCTATTCTGTTGCTTTATAGCTTTTAAATTATTATTATTAACATTCCTTATTAACATTCATTCATGCGATAACGCACAATTTTAAATCTTGCATTTTTTATATCATTATGCTGTTACCTTGATTATTCTGTCTGCAGCTTTTTGATAGCGCACGGTCACACTGAACTGTTGAAGTCTAATAATCACAAGTCATTGACATCGAAGTGACAGGGCATTCGAGGTGACATTAAATAAGTCTAAAAAAAAATACAGGAGATCGTAAAAAAAGAAAAATGAAGCGTGCTTGTGGTTCAGATGTGCCTATCATTAAGAAAATGGTTTCCGACGAACTTGAAGATTCAAATGCCAAAAACGAGCCGTGGCCGTCGACGGAGAATGGTGAACCAGTGAAACAGGATGTGGTTTCTGCTCCGATTCCAGGTGGAACTGATGATGCCGCCATGGCTCTGATTTCTAATATTTCTTCAGAATTAGCTGCTCCCATGGCAGCACCTAATCCTTTTATTGAACTAGCTGCTATTGATGGGGAAAAAAGTGTCCAGGAGAGACAAGATTCGGTTCTAGCTTCGATCTCGGGTAAGTTTTATAATACTGTCATGAATAATAGCCTAATGTAATAATATTTACCATTCAGTTTTTTCTGATAACCAGCTACGAGCTGCAATTGATGAGACCCTCCAGGCTCCATGTTCTTTTGGTAAGCCAGATGCTATTGATGGGAAAAATAGTGTCCAAGAGGATCAAAATTCGGTTCTAGCTTCGACCTCGGGTAAGATTTATAATACTGTCATGAATCATAACCAAATCATAACCATAAATCATCATATCTGCTGCATCAGCCGGAACTAATGTTACCATTCAGTTTTTCTGAAAACCAGAAACGATTGAAAAGAATCTAAAGTTAGGGCTCTTTCGACCCCAAATTTTGTCCAATAACTTCCTTTTTTTTTTCTTATAAGCTCATACATATACCTTTTATAAGCTCATGTTTTCGAATATGAATAAACCCTCAAGCAACTTTGTAATCCCATTCTGAATTTCGACTTTTCTGTTAACAGTGGCTATTGAAGATCCCATTTCGTCTTTGGATCCTTCTGTTGAAATTTTCGCTGACGAGGATCGCATCCAATCTTCTGATCCTGATTCACTTGCCGTGGACACCAGCGGTATATCAATGACCTTTATGAATGAATCAGAGGATAATTCCAGCGATGTGAGTGAACTTGGGCATCAGATGGATTCGAGCGGAGAACTTTCCGTGGACACCAGTAAGGAAATCGGCAAAGGGAGCGAGAAATCGACTGATTGGAATTTGGACATGAACCGCCAACTGCGCCAGTGCTTGGTCCCCAAGGACGCCCCGATGGTCCTTAATGAGTTAAAGGGTGTGATCATCAGCCGCATTGCCAATAAACGCTACCATGACGGTCAGTTCACGACCCATTTGACCGTGAACTCAAAGCAGTACTTTGGCGAGGGTCCTTCTGTAGCCTTTGCCAAAAAAAGAGCCTGCGAGAAGGCTTTGCGCGGCATAATCATTGACAAACTCACCGCTATGCAACATAATGCAAATGAAATAGAAGAAGATGATATGCCCATGATAGAGCTGGCCTCGTTTGCCCTTTACAAACTTTTTAAGGAGTGGAAGATGGAAGGTTTCCATGTTCCAGAGCAGTCGGATGAACGCTCGGAGTTACCCTTCGGTTGGAAGACCATGCATCCCGGCGTGGTTCTTTCTCACTTACGCCCAAATTCTATTTACGAATATTTGGGATGCACCGGCAAAACGCCGAATGAGGTGTTCGAAATGGGAATCGTGGTGGACGGCCAAGAATACAAAGCCAAAGGGACATCTAAAAAAAATGCTCGCCACAATTTGGCTGCCCTTGTTTGCAACACAATTTGTAAAACCAACTTTTCCAATGGTGATTAACGTTAACAAGTCAATAGTAAATTGACATAAAACATTTAAGCTATTAATTTGTTTAACTAAAAAAAATATAAACAACAATTTTTAGTTAAACTAATAAATTGTTAAGCCTTTAAATAAAACTTCTGCATAAATTTAATTTTGCAAATGCATGCTTTTTGTCGAACCAAACTTTTTTCCATCTTTTTTCATTACAGCATCCAGAACCTATGCAATTATTTGCAATCATATTTCCGTCTTCCATTTTCTCCCTCGTCATTATAGAAAGACAAACAAAAATGTACCAGAACAAAGATCTTGGATATTGAATTTAATTAAAAATGTTCATGACAGTTCATCCAGCTTATTATCCTGTCACACTGAGTGAGCAGTGAAAAAAAAATGCGGGTGTAAAATGAAATTGGAAAATTAAATTCAGCCAACTTAATTGAATTCGAATTGGAATTTTTCCGCTGGAATTGGAAGTTGTCTAAATGGACAAAAACGAACACCGATGAGTGTTAATTTTATTATACGGTTCATCAATATCCCGGTCACTTCCGATTCCTTAATGGTTATCCCTGGAAAATGTCTGGGCATCCCCGTTTAATGACAATTAACATTTTTCTAATGGCCGGCAATTAGAGGAATCCCCGGGCTTTGGGTAAGATTTATACGAATGGGGGGATAGTCACTTTCTGGCGCTCAAGTCGAAGCCCAGTTCTCGCACAACGTTGGCCTTATTATTACATTGTTTATGAGAGCGCCTTCTGCTTGGCTTTCTCCCCGCTCGATTTATTGTTTTGTGTTGTGTTGTTCTTGTTGCTGGCTTGTTTTACAAGACCCGTCTCTCCACGCTTACTAGTATATGTCCCTGCCAGCCTCCCAAAACACCCAAAACACCCAACCACTCAGCCCTCCCCCTCCTCCACCCCATTTTTGTGGTCGCAGCATCTTGCGGTCCGCCTCAAGTCATATTTCCTTATTATCTGGGCGGTTTTTGGCTTTGTTTTTTCGTTTGCCGTCCCTTGACTTTTTTGTGGTTGACCTTACCAAAAAATGGAATTATTAATGGCCTCGTCCATTTGCTGCTAAGTGGCGCAAATTGTGTGTTTGTTTATATCATTTGCCTGTGCCGGAAATCTTAAAGAATTCTCTTTTTTCTACCGCTTCCTTAAAGTAAAATTTACGGTGGGAGTCAACACCATGGACAACAGTTTACGGAGCGCATTGAACCTTGCACTTTGTTAATGACCCTTAAAGCTCTACAAAAATGTAGGTGAAGTGGATTTATGATGGGAATAAGGGAGAAAGTATTGGGGCTTGGCATAACACAGGAGGAGGACTTAAGACGTAATCAAATAACAGGAATAAAAAATGTTAGCTTATGTCATTCAGAAAGTTTGGGTAGTTGTTGAGAAAAATTATAAAATGGCTGTGCCATAATAAAAAAAATTGTATTTCCAACACTAATGAAATAAATGGACAAGTTTAATATTTATTGATTTTCTTAGTACGAAAAATTTAGATTAGAATGATTGGAATTAAGTTGCTATTGCTTTAAAATGTATATTGAATCATTCTTAAAATCACTATGAATTTATTGACTAATTGTTAACTATAAGCTGGTTTTATAAGAATTTTAATGTGATGTGATTATTATTTTTTTGGAATATTAAGAGACTATCTAATTAACGATAATCCTTAAGGCTTGAGTCCTAGAAGTGCAAGCTTAAAGTATCTGCTATCCTTCCCTTCTTTCCCGCATAGCATGGTCAATATCTCAGACCACCTTTCATATAGCGGTAGCACACACCTTGCTTAACCTTTCCCCCGCCCACTTTCCCCATTTCCCCCAACTCGCCCTCATTGCATTAATTACCGCATACTTGCAGAGCATCTGAAGGGCGGAAAGGGCAGGAAAATCTGTGGCTGTGCTAAATTGCACTTCAAAACGAGAGCAGCATCCCTCTGGACGAGGATGTGAGTGTCCTGGATGTGCGGATCCTACTCCACCTCGGTTTCTCCTGCCCCTGCGAAAGCCCCTGTCGTAAAGTGTTTGCACGTGAGTTTGTGGGCGCCAACATGCGCTGATTGAGAGTTCCTGCCCCACTCACACTCTGGCACTGGGGAAAGGATAAATGAAGGACGATGCTTAGATCTAACGTACAAAAAGAGAGCAACCAACTCAGCTATATTTTTTTTATGCACTGAAAAAACCTAATTGTTAGAAACATAAGTTATACTCCAAATCTGTGGAAACATAGCTTTATGAGAAATTCTAACTAGACTTTTACAATATATGGTTTTAGTTAAATATAAATATTGAGTGACACCAACAAAATTTAAGGTAGCTCTTATTCTACATCCTTTGATTTTAGCATAAATTATCACAAACAATATATTAGTATTCAATAAATTTTGTCAAATATAAAAAGGAAAAACATTTAATTGATTTTAAAAATTATTGTTATTAAATATCTTCAAAATCTATGTTAAGCATAAAGGCACTGTTTTTATTTAATTTTTTGTTTAGCTGACTATTTTGGACTAGCCTAATTGTAAGAAATTTGATTTCTAAACTTGCGACTATAAAATGAATTGATCTCCTGATAGTTTTTTGTCTGTGTTGCTCTGCATTTTTTCTTGTGCTATTTTCTGTGGTTTCCAGTGATGTGTTGTTCAAGCGCTATGGCAAATATTTGATTTTAATTTTTCCAATTAATTGGTTTTCTATCAAAAATTCATCGTCCTAGCAGGCCTTGTTCATCTATTCTTTTTTTCCAGCCTCACCTGCCCGTCAACATATATACGTGCCTCAAAACATAGAGATTTTATTTTCTTGTTTTTCCCTGTCTGACTTTAAACGTCTGACTTTAAAGGAGAGAAGGGCGAGATGGTGGTATAAGCACAAAAACTTTGTCCTGCAACCGCAAAGTGTGGGGGCGAGGAGGGCGTGGCAAATGTCAACTACAAGAAAATTGTCACTAATGAGTGGTAAAAAGAGCGAGTCGAGTAAGGACGCTTTGTTTGCATAGGCCGAAAGAGCCGGAAATGAGGGGAAAAACTAAGAGGCGGCTGCAAATTCTATAAAGCGAGTGGCTGGATGTTGGTCCACTGTGTACAGTCAATATTGGCAAATGTGTCAGTTGCAGCCCGGCTTTGAGGTGGACCCAAAATGGGCACAGCGGAAGGGAAAGGGTTGCTGGGGCTTATGAGCAGCAAAAAGCCAATCGGCAAGGGATAATGAAAACCACGACAAAAGCGCAAAAGTTCCGCAGCAGTCAAGTAGCCAGGAGTCAGGAGAATGACCTGAAGGACATTGGGTAACCAGGACTCTTACACATTCGTAGTTTTTACATGTAAATTATGCAGGGAAAACAGGGCAGAAATGGGTGGAAAAGGTTAAGGGTTTAGGTGTTGCGGAGATGCCCTTTGGTAAATGAACGATTTTGAAATATAAGATGCAGTTGCAGTATTTTTTAAAGAGAAAAGATGGTTAAGGTTAGGTTAACTAAAACAGCATTCAATTAGCCCTTTGACATCATCTTACCTAGAGATTGACATTACACATTTTTTTTGTATGAAGTTTTTTTTTCTTTTTTGAGTATTTAAGTATGTATTAATACAGAAATTTTTTGTAAAAATCTTCAAAGTAATTTTTAATTACTGCTTAAAATCTATTCTGGCACAGACCAATATATAACAGTAATAATAAGCAGAATTAAATTAACTCTTATTAAACATTGTATTATATGCACATATCAAAAATTGCATCATATATGCATTAAATCATCGAATTGAAGTTTGCAAAATTTAATTGGATAATTATAATTCTGGCAATCGTAAATATGTACGAATCACCATAAAATCCCCAAAAGAAAGGGAGGGTATCACTAAAAGAATCCAACGTCTGCCCGGAACTCCAGTGTTTCGTGTTAATGAGATAAGCATGCAAATGCCTTAATAGAATGAGCTCCTCCAGCTTTAATTTTCCCGCCCAACCGTCCGCCTCCGTTGTTTTTCATTCAGGGGGCGTGGGAGTGGGCGGTAAGGAGAAAGGGAAAGCGCTGGAGAGCTGAGCAGTCAATTAACAAGCCGAGTTGAGCTGCAGGTGGGATAACCATAACCCAGACATCGGGGGCGAAGTGGAAGAGCTGCTCCACCGTTCATCATCGTTTATCTTAATAAACCGCGCACTCAGTCAGACATTAAGCTGGCGAAACCAGAAAGCAGCCAAAAGTCCTTTGGAAAATTGCTTAATTTGCAGTTGGCACTCTCACCCAGAAACAGAGTAAGGAAAAATCAGATTCAGTGGAAAAGCCAGGGGCGAGGAACTGTGGGCGCGGGCGATTCAGTGCAGCGTTAACGCAAACTTGAAGCGCGGCACGTAAAAATGTTGATAAAACGCACAAAGCCAGTTGATGATTTCAATTTATATTTCCAAGTGGAACTCATCTTTAGTGCAGGACGGAAAAGCGTAGCGTTTTCCACCATCCCCCAGCCCATTAAGCGTAACATGTAGCGAATTTGCTGAAGCATATCACGTGCAACATAATTTTTCCAAGCGACTTGCCACTTGCAAGTTGGAGTAGACAGGGGCGTAGAAAAAGGGAGCAGAGCCTGGCGACTGACATGAATGCTCCACGTCACCCAAGTCCTTCCCCCCCTTACCATTCGCGTTGGGATACGTGGCATTATGAGCGTGAAGTAGACTAAATAAATTACATTTGAGCACCAAAGGTGTTATGCACTGATAAAAACTAAATCGAGGGATCATTTTCAATATTAATCTTTATTAAATCCACATAATAATTTACTTATTTAATGTTTCAGTGGGTTTCTCAGGCAGAAACAAGAGTTAAAGAAATAAATTAAATTTTTTAAGAATTAAACAGATACATTAAAATAGAAAAAGTTAAAAGTAAAATACTTCGGAATTATAATAAAGGCAAACATTATATATAACTTACGTGGTAAGCCCGGCGTTACTTAAATATTTGTTATGCATTAAATAGACGTTGTCTTACAGCTTACAGATAATTTTTTATTAAGATTATTTATAATTTAAGTGAAATAATACC